TGAAAAAACACATGATTTTCAAATCAAGTTATTCAATTTTCAATCTCCTGAAGATCAACACTAATGCAAATTAATCTAAATGTCTTCAAATGGATTACATATAAAGGAAAAAACTATCAGCTAAAATAGATTACTATCATTCTGCATGATCAACAATTTTAATATCATCACTTCTCTAACTCCCCAATGTAGAAGTCCTCAATCATATCAAATACTCGGGTTGCATGTTGTGGCCTGAATAAAATTTCATAAAAATAGTCTCAATCTAGGTTGCATAATATATCCAATTGCTCACATCAAATGACTATTTTTGGAAAGAAAATCAAGAACTCCTTATATCTAAATGGGCCCTATGCAGATTAATTCAAGTAGTTGTTTTCTTTTCTCAAATGCATAGAAACTTACCCAAAAAATCCTTCAGTTGAGTCATCACCAGCATGAGCCAAAATTGCATCACCACCAGGATGTTCCTCCACATAAGGGGTAACATCATATACCTATGGTAGATCAAGAATCATATATATGAGGAAAAAAGATTGAGGCTCTATTTCTATATAAACTTTTTTAGGTTTCCCCTAATTTCATAGTGATGGAATGAAGTATTGTTATAGGTTATATAACCTAACAGAACCTTCTCTTTGATGATGATCCAGCAATCTGTCCTTTTGTTATGCAAGGAAACCGCAGCCTTGTTGTATGATTTTACAGTCTGCAATTAAAAAGTGTACAACATTATAATACTATTCATTAGGTACTTGTTTGTTTTGGAAATACAAATCTAGTGTTCTTTGAAATCCATAGCATCAATTTTGTCTGTATAACAAATACATGGTTGTTTCAAACATCAGAATTCTTATATGTTAAGGATAGTACCTTGATGTTAGTATCTGATTGAACTTTCTTGGTTTGATCTGCATTACACAAATACCCGAAGATTAGAAATACATACAAATTTTGTGCATATTATTGAAAACTTCCGATTCGATGGATTACACGAAAGAAATGTAAGATGAAATGAAAAGATTTACCGGATTTGATGAATCGAGGGGCTAGAAACAACAAACTCAACAGGAAGCCAATAATCAAAGTAACTACCATTAGCTCCATGCCGAAGGCGCTACCGATGTCATCAAGGATGCGATCTGGGCAGGGTTCTCGGGAGGTTTCGGGAGTAGCCATTCTAGTCGATGATCTAGAGAGAGAAATTAGGGTTTACTGGGGTTTTAATTTGAAAGTGGAAGTGTTTCTACTTTCTTGCAATGGCCGTCGATAGCCCCAGTATATTGTTATATTGGTATAAATGGTCCCTGAAAATAAACATTAATAGAAAAGAATTTCTTGTTCAGGAAGCAAAAGAATCAAAAAAATAAAACATCAAAATAATTATATTTCATTTTGCATGGGTTACTTTTGATTATATTTTTGATATTTAGAATAACCGAATTACTTCGAACAGTATTATTGTATTTAGTTAGATTATTTTGTAATTAGGTTATGAATTTATGTATTATATGGATTGATTAAAAAAATTAAATAAAAATGACTAACGGTTCATTGTAAAGAGTTTCATGGTTTCATATATACCGACATGATATGATTATGGATGTTTTCTTTAATGCTTGTCAGCATGTTGGTATTTCTGTGAAGAAAGTAGTGTTTAGGAACTTTTTGACAGGACCCTATGGATAGAAGATCCACACTCAAATCGTCTGATATTTTGGTCTTTTGATGGGTAAGAGAAAGCACACTTGTGTGGATCTTACTTGGGTCTCCCATCTTGTTGGTTTGAAGAGTGAGGGTTTAAATTTCCAAATACACCTCCTAATTAATTAAGAAAGCGTATTTTTTAAATGTCATTTTATGTCATTTTATAAATTTCGGACAGCTTATAAGTCAGTGACAGAGCTGGAGTCAAAGTAAAAGAGTATCTCCGACAAGTAATGAGGTATTCCCGATAAGTAATTGCCTATCAGGATACCCAATTGGCGGAGCCATTACTTATCGAGGATATTTCATTACTTTTCGGGGATACTCTTTTACTTTGACATGGTTCTGCCATTGGTTTACGTAACCATTTGATTGAAATCGTGGTTGTGGTGAATAGACGACTAAAATGAGAAGATGAAATGATTAAGCCATCTAACTAAATACTAATATAAATTCTAAAAGAGTTATATGAAATGATAAATATATTAAAAATAGGGACCTAATATGGACACAGTTAAACCTTATTACCCTTCTTTAAACGGTTATAACAACCATGACGGTAAAATTTGTACAACAAAAGATGTTAGGGATCTATTGTGGACAAAATAAAAACATTATTATCTTTTTTAAACGGTTATAACAACCATATTGTTAAAAAAAAAAAAAAAAAAAAAAAAAAAAAAAAAAAAAAAACTCATTGAGAACCTAATGTAAACTTATTACCCTCGGAAGTCATTAACCCTTGTGAAAACAAATAAACCATTCTTAAAAAATGCAAATGTGTAAAGAAAAAACCTACCTTTTAACAACAAATAAATAAAAATTTTGTTCTAGTGATTAAAACAGAAAAAATTGTTAAAATTAAAAGGCTTTAGTGGAAAAAAATGACATGTGTCATCATGATAAACACATTGTATTTTTTTGTTTATTTATTTTATTTTGTAAATGTAAATAATATTTTTTAAAACAAACGAAAATGGAGTGCTTAAACCAAATTTTGACCAAACTAGTCTTATTCTTTTGTTATTTACCTTTTTTTTAAGATCATACTAAACTTTTTGTAGCAAATAATAACGCCCACAATAATAACCTAATGATGATATTTTTTTTTTTGGCTAAATAAGCTTTGTCAAAATCAAAGAAGCCGTTGTGTTACCTTGTCTATAAATTATTGTGTTTCACCCTATGTATTCACAAGCTCTCTACATAAAGCTTTGTGCTACTATATTTCGTTTTGGATAAGGCCTCACTTGCATTTTTCATTTGCAAGGTTGTGTGGATTTTGGATGTAGTAATTGTAACCAACATCAGGTTATTTTGATGGAAAAATATGGGAACAGAACTTCAAAGATATAATTTTTATTTCTTTATAGCATTAATTTTCAAATAATAATGTAAAACTTTATAGAAAATGATTTTAAAAGTTCCGACCATCAAATATAGTTTAGGCAACTTACGATATATTTACAGTAATATATATATATATATATATATATATATATATATATATATATGTATATACTAGCCGGCTACCCGCGCAAAGCGGCGGGGCACGTGAGTTCTTTCGGTGATATGTTTCCATTACAAAATTGTTATGTTAAAAAAAAGTACATGTTGAAGACAATATAATCAAACTATGGTGTTATTTGTTACATCATGCATCAAATAACCAATAAAAAGCAACCAGTCAAGACGACACAAAATATTAATCGTGCAATACTTCTTTATATACCACATTTGCTGTATAAACCCCATCACCTTTTGAATTTTCGTTAGGCTTTACTAATACTTTTGTATTGCAACGTGAAACCCCTCTGGACAATGCAACATAAAGTTGTCCATGCGAGAATACTGGTTCTGGAAGATAGATACCTACATATGGAATTGTTTGTCCCTGAGCTTTATTGATTGTCATTGCAAAGCACAATCGAATAGGAAACTGTTTCCTCATTAGAGGATCGATGGTTGCTACTAATTGCTTGTAACTGGTATTGGTTTCATATCGATGGATGTGGATTCGCATATGAAATCAATTGTGTTCGCATCTATGAAATCAGTTCGCATATGACAACAATTGAGTTCGCATTTGGTTTTGTGGGTCAAAACAGTTCGCATAAGAAGTTCACGATTTGTTTGAGGTTAATTGATTTTGATTTCGCAAGCTTGGAGTCGGAGATCTGGATTGTGTTCGCATCTATAGAATGCGAGGAGAATTTAATGGTGATATTCAGTTCGCATTTGGTGACACAAGTACGTGGTTGATGATTTTTGGTTGGTTCGCATTTGAAATTAGTGGGTTTCGCATTTGGGTTCGTATCTGGGTTTCTCAAACAACTGAAATGCGAATATGAGACAACTGATTAATTTCTCAGTTAATGCGATGAAATGCGAATGAACTCAAAGACGGATGGATGCAAGATGCGAAGAATTTGAATGAAAATGCGAAGTTTTTAATGTATAAATGCGAATTGGGGAAGAAAGCTTAGAGTTTCGCATTTGGCACCTGATCTTTTCAAGAAATAATATAAGTGGTCCAACTTCGCAAAATGGGGTCATTTAATCAGAAAATCGATCATTCTTCAAATATGACATTTAATCAGAAAATCGATCTAAAAATGAGACATTTGGTGTTTATCGATTTTTCAGGGTCGACGGGTTGTATGAAAAGCGAAGGCTGAGTAATTGAAAATTAGAGGATCGATGGTTGCTACTAATTGCTTGTAACTGGTATTGGTTTCATATCGATGGATGTGGATTCGCATATGAAATCAATTGTGTTCGCATCTATGAAATCAGTTCGCATATGACATCAATTGAGTTCGCATTTGGTTTTGTGGGTCAAAACAGTTCGCATAAGAAGTTCACGATTTGTTTGAGGTTAATTGATTTTGATTTCGCAAGCTTGGAGTCGGAGATCTGGATTGTGTTCGCATCTATGGAATGCGAGGAGAATTTAATGGTGATATTCAGTTCGCATTTGGTGACACAAGTACGTGGTTGATGATTTTTGGTTGGTTCGCATTTGAAATCAGTGGGTTTCGCATTTGGGTTCGTATCTGGGTTTCTCAAACAACTGAAATGCGAATATGAGACAACTGATTAATTTCTCAGTTAATGCGATGAAATGCGAATGAACTCAAAGACGGATGGATGCAAGATGCGAAGAATTTGAATGAAAATGCGAAGTTTTTAATGTATAAATGCGAATTGGGGAAGAAAGCTTAGAGTTTCGCATTTGGCACCTGATCTTTTCAAGAAATAATATAAGTGGTCCAACTTCGCAAAATGGGGTCATAAAAAGACAAGTGCAGAATTTTCATTTCGCATCCCTGTAGTCTTCGCAAAATGGAAAATTTTACCTAGTTTCGCATTTGGGGTAAATTTTTTTGAGAAATTGGAATATTTTCAAACTTTTTTTCTTAAAGAAAACACATTGTCTTCGTCTAAGAGAGGGAGAAAAACGATTAGGGTTTATAAGGGAAATACTTCATGGCAGTGGGATTTATAGCAGGGTTTATAAGGTGGAGAGAACAAACACACGTCTGCTATGAGATATTTTAATCAGCTGCAAATGCAACATTTAAAGGATATTTGTTGAAGCGTATTAGGATGAAAAGGTTTTAAATTTTGAATGACCATGAAATTAGGATTTTGCTGAGAAATATAAGGAATCAAAACAAATTTAAAATTTAATATTATTTTATTAATGGTTGTTTGTAATATTAGCTTACTCGTTTGTACGTCTTAAAAAAATAATATTATTATATTCAATCTATTTATAGAAATAGTTAGATTTCTTTTATAAGTAGTAAAGATATATATATATATATATATATATATATATATATATATATATATATATATATATATTATACTTTTTCCTCTATTTTTTTTATGTAATTATGCATTAACCCAAATGTTTATATATATATATATATATATATATATATATATATATATATATATATATATATATATATATAGGTTAATGCATAATTAGATTAATAAAATGGAGAACAAAGTAAAAAAAATAAAAAATAACACTAAGAGTTACTTTTATTTTATAAAGACAAAATTACAAAAATAGTCCCTATGGTTTATCAAAAGTCACAAAATTAGTTTCTGCTAATTTTTTTTGATGCAAATTGTCCTTGTGGTTTGCAAAACTTGCAAAGTTGACCCTTTTTACTAACACCGTTAGTATATAACCGTTAGGGACTGAATCTCTAAGGGCATTTTCATCTTTTTAAGTATAAAGGGACTAAATTCGTGACATTTGATAAACCACAGCGACCATTTTTGAAGTTTGTTTGGGAAAAAAAAATAATTGACTGAAGGAAGAGGGGAAGGGTTGAACTTGAGATCTTCACCCCCCAAAATGACAATGAGACTTAACCATTTGATCGGGAAGCTCACTTGGTTTTAACTTCCTAAAACCAAATTATATAATAATGAAAACGTTAATACATAAATAATAAATAAATTATTAAAAACATTTTTTTACGTAATTTTTTTTAAATAAAAAAATTATTTTTAGTCGTATTATAAAAATATAGTTCATTACAAACAATTTATATGTATTTTTATATATTTATTTAACATAAAATATATTTTTTTATATCTTTAAAAAATACGTTTTCGTATAAAAAATATGTTTTCGTAAAATATATTTTTTTATGTCTTTGAAATAATAACTAACACTAATCATGACCTAAAAAAATATATAAATTATTTTGGGTCGCTAGTTGTAAAACCGTTTTTTCGGTTATGTATTAAAAACACCTTAACAACGATTTTATTATGTATTTAAATAATTTATACGGTATTTTTTAATGTCAAGTATACTATTAATTATCGTTATTTCAAAAAGCTATATAACTATTTATTTTCATCTTCACTTTAACCATACGATTTAGAACTTACGATTAAGATTAAATACGTATTTTAAATAAGATATATAACCGAAAAACGGTTTTCAGAAAACCAATTAGTCTAGTCAGTTTTTTGAAAACTGTTTTTCGGTTATATGTATTTAAAAAAGATGAAATACGTATTTTAAATAAGATGAAATATGTATTTTAAATAAGATGAAATACGTATTTTAGAAGTAGCGACCCAAAAGAATTTATATATTTTTTCATCTCGTGAGTAGTGTTAATTATTATTATTTCAAAGGCTAAAAAAAAATATTTTACAAAAACATATTTTTTATACGAAACGTATTTTTTAAAGATATAAAAAAATATATTTTATGTTAAATAAATACATAAAAAATACATACAAATTTTTTGTAAAAAACTATTTTTTTTATAATACGACTAAAATAAATTTTGTTTTATTTTAAAAAAAAAAATTATGTAATAAAAATGTTTTTAATAATTTATTTATTATTTATGTATTAACGATTTTGTTATTATATAAGTTAGTTTTAGGAAGTTATAACCAAGTAAGCCTCCAACTCAAATGGTTAAGTCTTGTTGTCATTTTACGGGGTGAAGGTCTCAAGTTCTAGCCTTCCCCACTTAATTAATTTTTTTTTTCCAAACAAACTTCAAAAAAGGTCCTTGTGGTTTATTAAATGTCACGAATTTAGTCCCTTTATACTTAAAAAGACAAAAATACCCTTACAGATTCAGTCCCTAACGGTTATATATTAACGGTGTTAGTAAAAAGGGTCAACTTTGTAAGTTTTGCAAACCACAAGGACCATTTGCATCAAAAAAAATTAACAGGAACTAACTTTGTGACTTTTGGTAAACCATAAAAACCATTTTTGTAATTTTGTCTTTTATAAAAGTTAAATACAAGCAAAACAATATTAGAAAATGTTACAAGACATACGTTTTTATTTATCTGCATCAAGAAGAGGATATGCAAATATTTTTAAATATACAGTCATCTAAAAAACAAACAGTCTGCGAAACAAAATGTTTACGTGACACAACTATTAGAATTCGAGAAAAACAATCACCACCTAAGATTTTTTCCAAACAGATTTTATGTTTTATAAACTTTCGTTAGTTTTTCTTCCAAATTGCCCTAATTTTCAAAATCTTATCATTCTATCCGAATATATGATTTCCCCGATAATTATATTAGTAGTTATGTAATGTAATTAGCTAACTACCGTAAAAATCTTCATTGCCACCTCCCAAGTCCCAAGCTGGTCACTGGGTGCTTACTCCCCACAGGGGCGGCTCAACCAGTTTGGGAGCTCTAAGTGAACCAAAAATTTGGGGCCTTTTGGTCTTTACTATAGTTAATGTTATAAACATTCTCCTTTAGCTGGGTTTTGAATCGGCAATAATAACTAAAAAATTATAAACGACGGAGTTAATTTTTTTTGTTATGTATATGTTTTTTTGTGATTATATTTAGCAACAAAAGTGACTGTGACTCATATTCAGCATCAGGTCCATACTTGGCAAATTGAATCATTATCTCTCTACCATCAATAACTCTTCCTAAAGCAATGGCATAGACGTAAAAAGGAATGATTGTTTTTCTAATTCATGAAATGGATTATTTTAAAGAAATGGAAATTCAGTTGTTACCGTTAAGCTTGTCCACTACCTTCTGGGCTTCATCTGCATACTTATATCGAACAAAGGCAAAGCCCCAAGAATCCCCAGTCCTATAATCAACACAGGAATTACATAATTAGTAAAGTCAAATATGCTAAGACAATAACAATTGGAATAAAGATTTTCAATTTATAGCAGAATCAAAACAAATTATGGGAAAGTTAATAATATAATTGGGTTAAATGCAAGAGACTGTGACTCTGTTTATTTTAACACCTATGCTCATTTCTTCCAATTTATGCATTGTTCTTTAGAAATTCTACCTAATATAACATCGTTATCAATAGTTACAAAGATTTTAAGAAACTTTTCTTGCAATAACTAGATAGACTTTCAAAGCAAAAAATTGGAAATGTAATGATATAAGCAAAAAAAATTTCTTTAGACACAACGAAATTATATGTTATAATAGAAAAAAATATTAAAGAATAACAAACAAATAAACAAAATTTGGTTACCAATTCTTGCATTTAGCCATATATGCTCCAAAAATATAAATGTTTCAATCACTTTGGTGTATGAAAAATATTACAGAAGAAAACTACAAATGCAAGATTCCACAAACATGAGAAATCCTATTATTGCACATTAACCACTAAATCTAATTGCGGGAAACTGTACCTGCGATCTCTAGGGATGAAAAAATCAACAACCTTTCCATACTTATCAAAAAGGGGGAAAAACAGTTGTACCTGGAAAGACAAAATCGAATGATGAAATTATCAATTTACGAAAGGTGATGTTGAGGACGAGCAGTGAATAGGTTATAAGTATCTCTGATATCCGGTGGACCTGCTCTTCCAAAATGCAATATGGTTAATCGTTTTAGGGAACGAGAATGAAGAATGAAATCAGAGGACAAAGAACGAGTAGAAGAACAGTAGCAGGTTGAGGCCGCTTGGCTATCGTTGATTCAATTTGTGGCGTGAGTAATCCCTAATCGAAATTTGGGTTAAGTTGGGCCCCCTTAGAATTGGGGCCTTGCTTAATTTCAAAGTAAAGCCGGCCCAGACGCAGACATCTAGGTTTTGGCCATATAACTTCCCGCCCAAAACCCCTTACGTTCGCAAATTCGCCATAGGTTTCGAATCCTTGATCCTTCAAGCCACCTGGTATAGCTTCAATGGCGGAAACAGAAACTGCTGATACTAGTAAAAATGTCATCAAAGTTGAGGAAGAAATCGAAGGAGACCAAATTGGCACAAAAAACTATCGTTTCAGCAAAATCGGCGAATCTGTTCCCATCAAATCCGATGCAGATTTCAAATTCGATATGGACAACCTTCCGTCTCGTCCCATGGCAGTCTCAGAACGTTTTGGAGTGATTTTTGTTGCTCATTCCTCCGGTAAGAGCTCTTTCTCGTTTGGAGTTTATTTATATCATTTGAAGGTTAGCTAGGGCTGAATGTCGCAGGTATCGAGTTAGTACTCTTACTTTTGTATCGAAGCTGCTACAATACTGATTTTTTCTTTTCCAAGTCATTTTCACTTCTCCTTGAGAATTGTTAATGTTTCGGGATAGAGTTTGTCACAGTGTCTGTATTTACTTTAACGTGACTTGGATTGGTTGCTGGTAGAGTTATGTGTTATGAGGTGTAGTCGAGCTGCTGTTTACCAAAATTTCTACCAAATATGTCGTTTTCACATATCTCCTTGTGTCGGTTTCTAGTGTGTAATGAGAGTTGGTGGAGAAAGACGAAACATTGAGTTACTTGCTATTTGTTACTTCAAAATGATCTGATTCTGAAACTTCTCCAAAACTTGATAACTGCTAATAGTTTAATAACACAAACTGCCTATTGAAAATTAGTGGCATTCTTTTGTTCCTATACACATATGCATATTGTAGAAAATTACAAGGTTAGAACTTGGAAGTTGGAACTCGGAAATCAAAGTTCTTTTTTTATGTATTGTAACTGATAGGGAACATATATGATAAACGGTTGATGGTTTCCATAATATTACTTCACTTTGTTGCTGCTAGGGTTTTGTGTTGCAAGGACCAAAGATGTTATGGATTCAGCAGAAGAGTTGAAAAATGGAGGCACTGGTCCTTGTATACAGGAGCTAAGTGTTGTGGATGTTTCTGTTGGAAAGATTTCCATATTGGCATTATCTGCAGATTCTTCCATGCTTGCAGCCTCTGTTGGTTCCAACCTTTATTTTTTCTCAGTTGAGGGTCTTCTTAATAAGGTTCGTGATACTTTTGTTATTTCATTTGTTATCTGTATAACCCTCAAATCTGGTGTTTCCATACAATGATTGGCTTAAGCATCGGTTTCAAAATGGTTTATGTTGATGGGCTAACTTCTGGAAGTTCAATTTCTTTTTTATTCTTTCTTGAGAATCAAAAGATATTTTGTTCAAGAGTTAATGCAATGCCACTGTGGATATGATTGTTTCTCTCATCTTTTAGGATCAAGAACCTTCCTTTTCCAAGTCAATCAATGGCTCAAGTAGCATCAAAGACATGCAGTGGAGTCCACGCTTGAAGCAACAGTATGTTGTTCTTACAAATGATGGAAATTTATACCATGCAGCTGGCCAAGATGATCTTAATAATCTTATGGACAATGTTGATGCTGGTAAATTTTATATTCTCAACTATTTAAAGTTTTCTTGGGTTGATTGATCCTTGTCCTTTTTTTGTCTGTAAAAGGTTTAAGTTCTGAGTAGATACTTTAAGAAAACTTAAATACCACTTTGTTTATCACTGTGTTTTGTTGTCTAGTTGACTGGAGCATGGATGGAAAGTTTCTTGCTGTGGCAAAATATGATTATTTAAGCATTTTATCATCAAAATTTGAAGAAAAGTTACAAATTAAGTTACTATTTGATTCATTAGTTGATGATTCCGCTCCAGATTCTGTTGTAAAAGGTATATTACTATCCAAATCTTGATTACTTTAATTTAGTGAACTTATATGCATGTATTCTACTTCCATATACCTTTTCATTCTTATGTGTTTACAAGTCAAGAAGGAACCTGAAGTGTCTTTTATGCTTTCCTTACAGTGGATTCTCTCAGGTGGGCCCGCCCAGATTGTATTATCTTAGGATGTTATCGTCTGAATGCTGATGGGAAGGAGGAGAATTATCTACTTCAACTCATCAGTGTCAAAGATGGAAAAATCACAAAAGTAAGTAAACACATTAGTATCCTTAAGCTCTTTATTAACATAATTTTGTATTAAAGGTTTATGTTTTTGGTTCAGATTCATATAGTTTACATGTGGATTTTGTTTGTTTTCATGCAGCCCTCTTCCAATCCAGTGGCTTTGACTTTTAGTGATGCTTTTCTTGCTATAAATGAGGATGACATTCCATCTGGAAGTGGACCCCATATGTTTGTGAGCTATGTGGATGAATGGTTTGTTTTTTTTTTTTTATCTTTACCTAATATACATTTTGCTTAGCATCATAACTGTTTTGGAAATCTCTGCTGTTTCTTGCTAATTCCATGCTCTTTTTGAATCATATGCAGTGAGATTGCATTTGTTGCTAATAGGAAGAACACAGATCAACACATTGTGCTATTTGGTTGGTCTTCAGATAAGAATAATGAAGCTGAAATGATAGAAATCACAAATGATGCATGGGTTCCAACAATTAATCTTCAAGGTAACAATGATATCTGCTAATAATCTTGATTAATTTATTTCAATAATTCTAATAAAAGTTGCTTCCTACATCAGAAAACAGTGATGATAATCTGATATTGGGGCTAGCTGTTGACAAAGTTTACAAGGATGAGAAACTTAGACTCACACTTGGGGAACAAGATACAGAAGTTTCACCATGTTGCATTCTTCTATGCCTTACCATTGATGCAAAGGTTTTTATGTTCCATTTTGCCAGGTATTTCTCATTTTCTAAACTACAAATGATATTTAAAATGTTATTATATTTGTCTTCTTTCAAAGAAGTAAGCTTTGGTTGACTTACAACTTCTTATGTAGTGCCACAGGCCCTTCCCTTTTGTCAGAAGATGCAACTTCTTCTGTCTCTGATGAGGAAGTTGAGTCTTCTCCAATCAGTTCTCAAAATCAGGTGATGAATATTAATAAACAAATTGAGGATCAAACTCCTCAAAAAGTAAAAGTGGATGAACAAAATGAGAAAGCACACAGTGAAGCTCATACAATAAGAAAAGATGAAAAAACCAACTCTACATCAGTTTTACAGCTAGATAAAGGTGCTACACAACAACAAGTTCTTAGTAGTAGCAAAGATCAAGGGCAACCACTGTTTAAAGCATCTGAGCCTGTTAAAGATTTGAAGAAGATTGAAAATGAAAAAGTTGCTGATTCTGTTTCAAAAAATGATAAATCAAACAAAACAGTATTTGGAGGTTTAGAATCATCTTTCAATAAAGCTTCTTCATTTGGCTTGCATGATTCATCTGGAAGCTTCTCTAGTTCTTCAAATGTTTTTGGGGTGCAATCTTCTAAGGCATCATTTGGTTTGAATACTTCATCTGAATCACACTTTTCTTCAAATGTTTTTGGAGTTCAATCTTCTTCTTCTTCTTCTTCAGCTCATGCTAGTGTGAATAAGGCATCATTTGGTTTGAATACTTCATCTGGATCATCAAACTTTTCTCTAAATGCTTTTGGGATGCCATCTTCTTCTTCTTCTTCTTCTTCTTCTTCTTCTTTTTCGTCTTTTTCTGGTATCCAAAGGAGTGCAGAATCATCAGGCAAAATAGGATCAACTAATCTGCCTGTTTCATCAGGAACATCTTCTAGTGGAGGCATGTTTCCTTCTAGAACTTTTGAGGTGAAGTCTCCTTTTTCAAATACAGGAACAGGAACCACACCTTTGAAACTTTCATTTCCCAAATTGCCCTCCGCTTCATCTACAACTACATCAATCACATCTGGGGTTAATGTCATCAACACATTGCCTGTAATGTCTACTACACCACCGAATCTAGGAAAATCTTTGGATTTGAGATCATCTGACAAAGGAAATTACAGAAGTCAAACTCAGTCAAGGATGTTAAATTCTGACCCAAATCTATCAGAACAACGCAGTGTAAGTAAATGTAATAATCTTTTCATTTAAAAAAAAAGAAATCAGTCTGGAGTTTATTCTGTTTTGTATTGTATTCAGGTTGAAGAGATGGCAAAAGAACTAGATACTCTGTTGGATTCTATTCAAGGACCAGGTGGTTTTTATGATGCGTCTGTTTCTGCCCATAAACCATCTGTTACAGCTCTGGAAGAGGGTATTTTGGTACTTTCAGAAAGATGCAGAAAATGGACAGTGAGTTCCTTCCTTCCTTCACCTTCACATCTGTAGTTTAAAATATTTACCATACTGACCTTACTTATAATAATAGGACACAATGGATCATGGGATTGAAGAGGTTCAACTTATCCTTGACAAGACTGTTCAAGGTAACAAACATCATATTTATACCAAATAATTTCTATATTTAGTTATTTACCACTATATTTTAATTGCTTTTAATTTATAGTTTTGGCAAGGAAAATATATATGGAGGCAATAGTGAAACAAGCAACTGATAGTCAATATTTAGATATTTGGAATCGCCAGAAGCTGAATTCTGAATTGGAAATGAAGCGTAGACATATTTTACAGATAAATCAGGTATTTACCATTTAGTTCTTTTCTTACCAACACTTTTTATTTTTTATTTTTTTGTGTTATATTTTATTAAAATAAAAACGTTTCCTTTCTGCCAGAATTTAACAAATCAGGTAATAGAACTTGAAAGACATTTAAACACCCTTGAACTCCAAAGATTTGGTGATAAAGGTGACCTAGAAACAAATCGAAGATCTTTCCATACGAGACATGGCCCACCAAGGTGATTATTATTTATTATTTAATTAATAATAATAATACTTTTTATCTATTTAGGATTAAATATTAATGAAAGAATCTTTTGGTTTACAGGCATGTTCAGTCTTTACACAGTTTACACAACACCATGAATGCCCAGTTGGCAGCTGCAGAGAAACTCTCTGAATGTCTTTCAAAACAAATGGCTGTGCTTAGTATCGAAACGGGACCCACAAAAAAACAAAACGTGAAAAAGGAGTTATTTGACACAATCGGAATCTCCTACGACAATTCCCCAAGTCAAGAAAAATCTAGGTCGGTCCCACCAAAAAGTCAACTTGTAATTTCTTCAAATTCATCTACAAAGAAAAGTCAACAAAGTGCTGTGAAGACTTCTGAACCAGAAACCGCAAGAAGACGCAGAGATTCTCTCGATAGGGTAAAACCGTAAATTACCTTTCTTCTTTCTGTTACATAAAAAAATGACATTTTTAACCTTGAAAACTTTCATTTCAGAGCTGGGCAAGCATTGAACCCCCGAGAACAACTGTAAAAAGGATGCTTTTGCAAGAGGAGCGAACAAGTACACCTCCCGCCAGATCATCTTTGCCACCTGGCACTAGAAAACTCGATCGGTTGTCTGTGGGTCCCACGGTTTCTCATAATATGCCATCAGAAACACAAATAATGCGACATTCTGAAAGACAATTGAATTCCTCCTCAGTTTGGGGTAATAACAGTAACAGTAACAATAACAGTTTAGATTCAACAAAAACTCCCGTGGTAGCAGCTTCTGTGCTTTCTTTAGGCTCTGTTTCACATTCACAGTCAACGCCTGTTGTAAGTCAAGAGGTTGAAAAGTCAAAAAGCCGTTTCACCTTCAACTTAAAATCAGATGACCCAAAAATTACTCAACAGCCTCCAAGTTTCTTGGAACCTTCAAAGTCACCTGCAACAAATATATTCCAGAAGAAGCCTCTTGACTTCTCAGAATCAAGCAATAAAGAAACCGAAAAACCAAAGTTTTTAGTTGGAGACACGAACCAGAAGCCAAAAGTGGCAGAAAGCTCTTCTTCAATTTGGTCAAAAAAGAGTCAAGAATCACCATTTTCTGCCACGTCATCATCTACTGCCTTTTCAGGAAAAAGTTTCTCTTTGGAATCATCGTCATCTACGAAAGAGAAACAGCTTAGTGAAGCTGTGTCTTCTTCTGTTGCATCATTATCTGTTCCTGTTACTTCAACACCTTCATCCTCAACGCCTCCCATTTCATTTAGTAAACCATCAACCAGTTTTGGGATCCAATCAGGTGCTACTCAGACCACCACCCCACTCTCTGCACCTTCATCTTCACCTTCACCTTCACCTTCACCTTCTTTTCTTTCGTTTTCATCCTCCATTAAACCTTCAGCCAACATAGATTTGAACACTTCCAAATCAAAACCAGATACAACTGAAACTCCAACTCCAATACCTAGTCTACTTTCATTACCCAAGTTCGATATAAAACCAAATGAGAGTTCTTCAACTCAAGTTTCACCTCCCACCCCCCGTGGTTTCCTCAGTTGCCACAAGTAGTCCCCTCTCCTTCATTAGCATCAAATCCAAAACCAGAACAAGTACAAGCATCATTAGTGATACAAGATGTTGCAGTTTCACAGGAAGATGAGATGGAGGAAGAAGCTCCTGTACCTGAAACAGCTCCCACATTGGGAAATTTCAGTGGGTTTGGGCTCGGGTCATCCCCAAACCCGAACCCGGGTGCACCCAAACCGAACCCATTCGGTGCACCATTTGGTAACCCGGTAGCTACTCCATCTCAACCGGTTCCTTCATTTGCTCCTTCTCAACCTACTGGTGGTCTGTTTAGACCTGCATCCTTCAACATTGAATCTTCACCACCCATGCAACCTTCACATCCGTCTCAACAGCCAAATTTCAATGCGTTTTCCGGCGGATTTGGTGGTGGACAGGGGTTTGGGCAGCCGCCTCAGATTGGGTCGGGTCAACAGGTGTTAGGGTCGGTTCTTGGTTCGTTTGGTCAGTCGAGACAGTTTGGTGCTCCAAGTTCTTTTGGGGGTTCCGGTTTCGGTGCCAGTCAAACTGCTGGTGGTTTTGCCGCCGCTTCGTCTGGCGGTGGGTTTGCCAATCTGGCTTCCGGTGGTGGAGGTTTTAGTGGTTTAGCCACCAGTGGTGGTGGGTTTGCGGCGGCAGCTACTAGCGGTGGTGGATTTGCTGCTGCGGCTACTGGTGGTGGTGGTGGATTTGGTGGTCCCGCAGCAGGCAGTGGTGGATTTGGTGGTGCTGCGGGTGGTGGTGGGTTTGGTGTTGCTGCAGGTGGTGGTGGGTTTGGTGGTGCTGCGGGTGGTGGTGGATTTGGTGGTGCTGCAGCGGGTAGTGGTGGTGGATTTGGTGCTTTTGGGAGCCAAGGTGGAAGTGGGTTCTCTACATTTGGTAGTAGTGGGGGAACAACACCAAGACCTCCATCTGAGCTCTTTACACAGATGAGAAGATAGATAATCATATATAGTTTCGAATCTAATGTTGAAGGTAGTATATTCCTATATGTTTGTTTATCTATTAAAGAAAACCAATATAAACATTTTTTTTGTTTCTTTAATTAAACAAATGTGTTTCTTTTCACGTGATAACGAGTTCAATGGTTTTTTGGTTATGGTTAGAGAAAATGCTTTTTTTTTTTTAAATTTTCGTTATTAAGTACGATTTATTGCGTGATATATGAATATTAATGGGAACTTATTCGGTACCATTGAATGCTATTCCAATAAAAGTTATTTATTTTTAGTGTATTATTTTATTCTGTGAAAAACAAATTCATGGTTGAGAAGGATAATTTGGTAATTTTAGTATCTTGTTATGTATTGTTCTAGTCCTACCAAATATTATACATAAAAGTTGTTCATTCTTATTCATTTCTGTCTGGTTCAGTTCAGGTTAGTTCCATTCAATTCAATCACATGTACCAAAGGTTGCCTAAATGACTTTCATACAAAACTGTAGGGGGTTAGGAGTCACTATTTTATACGAGAGGGATTGTAAATGTAACTTTCCAATAACCCAAAAAGCATAAAGAAATTGAAGTAGCGGGTTCATGCCAGTGTTGAACGCTTTCCTTTTTCATCTTTCCCCTCAAAAATCTTCTCCCCAATTCCTCATTTTCCACGATCAACACACATATAACGCATACTCACACAAAACAGTGTTCGGAGAAGAGAAACCCCACAAGAAACAATCATATCTTTATCTCAGACATTGATTTAAGATTCCGTTTCTTTCAATGTAGCCCAATTGATCGTATAACCGATGTTCTTCGCAATTTGATTGATTGATTGTGGTGGGACGAGTTCAAATTTATCAGTTGTTTAAGGGGATTGGAGGAGGGAGAGATTGTGTTTGCTTTATGATGCTTTGTCCTGAATTGAACACTCAGATACAAACCTGGCTTCGTGATTACGACAAGATTCAGTCGTTCGCCGTGATTCTAATTTACATTCAAGTAATTTCTCTCTCCCCATTTTGTATTCCCATGTCAATGAATTCATGTTAGTCGTACACATTGTGATTTTACACTAGTTTTGATCCGTCTACAAATGATTCCGAAACGTAGAACTGAATTTATGAATCATGACCTAGAGTTTTCATCTGAATTCGTGTTTTTCATTAATTTTAATATAAATAAATAACACCGATTCAAAAACTGTTCGTTTATATCGCGATGTACTTTTGATTTTGTATTAATCGATTGAAGTTTTATCATATGTTCGAAGATTGCTTGTGCTTTGATTGGATCATTGGGGGCATTATATAATGGAATTACGCTTGTAAATCTCGGAATTGGGTTATTCGCATTGGTTGCAATCGAGAGTAGCAGCCAGAGTCTTGGTCGAACTTATGCAGCTCTATTATTTTCCGCAATTTTGCTAGACATTCTGTGGTTCATCTTCTTCAGTCAAGAAATCTGGTTAGCTTTCTCTCTTATAATTCTTCCTATGTATTCAATTTTTTTTTCTCTCTTCAGTTTCATCTAAAACAGTCCAGTTTGGGACGTATTCAGGAACATTTCTTCAGAGATTTATGGAGAATTTGCGATATTTTCAGTGAGATTGACTCTGTTAATGCAAATAATTGGGTTCACAGTAAGATCATCATCCTCATTGTTATGGATTCAGATGTATAGATTGGGGCCTTCACTTGTAGATAGTATAGTTCCTCGAGATGGAGATATGGATTCGAGGAACAGTTTCATGAATCCTGCAACACCTCCTCATGTAGTTAGACGCACGTCTGGTTCTCTTGATTCAGTTGGAGGAGGAGGAGGAGGAGGAGCTTCCATCTATGATCCATCATACTACACCTCTCTTTTCCCAGATAACCATGATGAAGAATCTTTACAACCGGTAAATATCTTTATCATACACATCGTGCCTGATATAGAATCTATATCAGGCACTGTGCCTGATAGTGATAGACGCACTATCAGGCACACGCACTATTAGGCACTGTGCCTAATAGTGCCTGATACATGATACACATGTATCAGGATTATATTTGGGACGGTTGCATGTGAAAATTGATGTAATTTTGTAGGGTCAAAACCGTCGCATGGGCATGGATGCGTCGCTGTCTGATTCTCTGTTGAAGCCGCCTTTAGGAAAATCTTTTCGGGGTTCAAATGTAAGTTTAAATTCCTGTTTTTATAATTCTATGATTATATGAATATAATGTTGGTAGGTTTGTTTTTGTATATGTAGGAAAGGAGCATAGTAAACAGGCTTGGGAGTCTTTGAAGTAGAAAAAAGATTATTTCACAATATATCATATGATTCCTATTTCAATATATTCTTTTTTAATTTATTTTTACAGAATGCAGCTTTATTATTATTATTATTCTTATATTGAATGATTTGAGGTAACATACTCTAATGTACAGTTGCATCTTTAATCTATTCATTTAGTTGAATTACATTTGAGCAAATATGGTATGCATGAGGGTTGTACTTCATGCATGTTGGATTGTACCTTTGCACTGATCAATGTCCAATGATCATAAAATGGACGTACACAAAACTACAACAATATGTTGTATAAAAAATATGCTATTTAAGGAAAAAATGGATTTTAAAATATGTTATTTGATATATTTAATTCATAAAAATAATAATATTGAAACGTTAACATTACAGTAGTTACGGATTTTTTTTTCCTTATGAAGGACTTTTGATCTCTTTTGGTCTTTGATTTGATATTCACCATGGTAAAAGGTCTTGGTCTACTTCTAATACCTTAAAAATAATATTTTTCTTTAATATATTTCTACATTTCTTAAAATGTGTTATTTGATACATTTAATTGAGGGAAAAGTGGAAGAAATAATAATATATGTTTAAATATTTGTTTAACATGTATTATTCGATGAAACTGAAATGATATAAGTTTACCATGTATTATTTGAAGAAATTGAAATGAATATAATAAAAATAATTGGTATGCTGAATTATTTATAAGGTTTAAACAAAACCCAAATAACATGTCAAGACACTAATAATGTCGACACTTGTTTTTAATTTAATTAATAAAAGACTAAATCATTAATTTATCCTCTGCGTAACATAGTTTAAAATATGCTTATTTAATATATAAGTCGTAAACACATAGTTATTTAAAGATTTTTATATTATTCATATATCTACATACATCTAAATAATAATGTTTATGGTAATATAAAAAGCAAAAACTAAATTGGTTGTTTTTTAGTTTAGCCAATATCGATTAAAATATTCCACTAAGCCTTATTTCCACATCGCTCACTTTGATATTCTATAGCTCGTTAAAATGGTAACAATAGAAAAAATAACAAAATTGAGTTAGTTTTTGTCAAATATTTTGATTCTGAAGGAAAATATAGTAACTAATTTGCTTTTATTCACAATTTTTTCTAGGTCGATCCACGAAGACCACCATCCTTTTTAATCCTTAATTTTTTTAAACAATACTTGAGACCGGTTCTTCTACTCAAGTTTGACATAAAGGCATTGATCTTAGTTATATACTTCACAAAATAAGTGTACAATTTCTTTCCTTGTAAGGACATTTGGTATGACATTCCAATTTCACGGTCAAAATTTTCATTTTTATTTAAGTAAAATTCCTTAATTATAAAACCAATTTTAAGAAAGTCATTTATTCTGAGTTACAATTTATTAAAATTAGAGTATTATAATGAATGCGAAATCATCAATGTTGTTGATAAGTATGTACAATCCGATCTTCGCATTCCTATAGACACCGATGATACCTAAAACAATAAACAACTGGATAATCATAAAGTTTAGTGAGTTTCTCCCAAAATACCACCACACAACCAGATAATATATACAATCAAATATATCAGGTCCAATCAACCATCGGAGTGGAATACCCCAGGCCCAGTCAACCTCCGAGTCCAGTCATCCTCAGGAGGGAATACCCTATGTTGGAATGCCAATATACTACGTGTCCAATCAGTCATCGGGCTGGAATACCCAATGTTTGTTGGCCTACCGCCTCAACCCTATTGCTCTTTCCGAGCCTCTGTGCCTACGACTTATAGCTGGCCTATACCGTGTATCTTGTCCTACAACACAAAGTAAGACCGCCTCAACCTAAACCAAACACAACATGTCGACATGTGAACAATCAATGATCAAGTAGGCACATAATACATGCAACATCAATCATACAACTCACTACTGTCTACTAGTCCTCTCATAACATACAATCCTGCTACCAGCTAACCTCCATAGAATGTGTAACCGTAGGTAACCAGAGGTGAGATAGCCACCCGAATAGATGATCCTACTCTAGAGCTACAACCAAACAAGGAACAAACAAGAGAGTCTAGACCAAGAGTTCTCATGCTATCCTACATGACCACATACCCTAAGGGCACTCCATAGATGACAACCAACAAGCACAAATAACATACAGTTCTACAGATTATTACAACAAAGCAACATACTTAATACTGGGAGACAGATCTAACACATCACTACAACATAACATCATACTAGATACCAGAACACAAATCTAACAAATTATTACAGCATAACAACATACTAAATATCAACAATCCAAGGAATGCATGGCCGTATATACTTAGAGGTGGGATAGTTACCCGGACAGGTGATCCTACTCTAGAACCACAACTAAACAAGGAACATGTAAGAGAGCTTAGATCAAGAGCCATCAGTCTATCCTACATGGCTACATACAATTTCTAAGGCATCCATCTATTAACATGTAACCAAAACTAGTGGGTCGACATTGGTGCGTTCGTCCCACGAGTACAGTGAGGCAAAACTCACCTCGATATGCGTGTAGGTAACCACTATAGCAATAAATAACTCTACCAGCTTCGACTCACTTCCAGTCACCTACAGGAAGATACTTGAGTAAATCTCCGATCACAGGTCATAGTCACTTGCAACAGTGACTATTTCACATGAAATGACGATTAGGGTTAAGTAAGAACATTTAACCCATTAAAAACTTAATCACCTAAGGGTAGGACTGATTAAGGTTTGACTTAGTCATTCTCGGGTATAATAATAATCCAAGCAATGTCCTAAATACACGTCTCGATCATTGTCCAAAATAGGAAAGGAGCACATCGGTCACTTTGACATTCTATAGCTCGTTAAAATGGTAACAATAGAAAAAAGTAAAAGCTGAATTGGTTGTTTTTTCAGTCTAACAATATCGATTAAAATATTCCACTAAACCTTATTTCCACATCGGTCACTTGACATTCTATATCTCGTTAAAATGGTAACAATAGAAAAAATTAACAGAATTGAGTAGTTTTAGTCAAATATTTTGATTCTAAACATAAAAATGGTGACCAAAATATAATAACTAGTTTTCTTTAATTCATAATTTTTTCTAGATCGATCATTTTGACTTCCATGAAGACCACCACCCTTTTTAATCCTTCATTTTTTTTAACAATACTTAAAATCGGTTCTTCTAATCAAGTTTGATATAAAGGCATTGATCTTAGTTTTATGCTTCACAAAATAAGTGGACAATGGTTCTTTCATTGTGAGGACATTTGGGTTGGCGAAGTTCCTTTACTCGTTTGATTTCAAAGAATGTATGCTTTGGAAATTGACAAAATATACAATTCAATCTCGTTTTGTTGATGACAATTTGAATGGTGTTTGGCGATGAAATGTGAGGTGAATGCTCTACAATGTATTTTACATTTAATTAGTCTTTCCTATCAACCAAACATGTGGAAGTGACATTTAGGGTCAACAAATGAGCATATTTTATTTTGTTAGAATATTTATTGATGATGAGACTTTGATTGTAAGGGGAAGAAGCTACTCCTTGTAATATAGTTCTTGTCCGAATAATGTTTAGTATAACCAATATTTCAACGATATAACACCATTTTATCCATATATATTGTAATGTACTTCTGTTTTAGTTATAATTTTTCATTTTGTGTAATGTCACTTCTATATTTAGGAAAGATTCTTTGACTCGGTGCTTGAAATGCATTTTTCAACATTTCTACTCCAAGATTACATCATATATGTTATTATTCTAGTTATGAAAAGAATAAATATTTTTTGGTATGCCCTTGAATTGGACCATTTCAGACATCACTTTCTACTATAAAATGACATCATTTATGTTTATTTTCTAGTTATAATGTAACATCCGAGTTTCAAGTAAGATTTTATACATTAAGTTTGGGGGGGGGGGGGTGGTTTGAGTTTTTCTTGGTCGCGGTGTGGTGGTGGAGACCTATTGCCGCCCAACCATATCATTTAAGTAGCATCACAGTCAGGAATTGGACCGCGACGTGGTGACGGCCGGGCATAAACGCCAAATCTCGGACTTTATGCCCTATATAAGCGCGCCGACTTCTACGGTTTGCAGATTCTCTCCGCCTCCATCCCTAGAAGATAAACCTTAGCCTTGAGAAGAAGGTGGTGCTTGATGTTTGTAAAGCTTGTTTCCACCAAGATCCTACCCTACTAACACTCTGGACCTTATGAAGGTATACAATTACCACCTTTATTGCTTATTGGTTCTCATTTCACACTTAGAGGTCTCTTTTGGTCCTTTAGAAGAATGTTCTTGGAGTTGTAAGCAACTCCAAAACCTTAAGATTGGATTGTGTTCAGTTATAGAATTGTTTTGATGGAAAAAGGTGTGTGCTTTGGTTCCCTTGGAGCCATGCACAAGTTATTGTCCTTATAAGCATCCAGAGGAGTTAGGGTTTGAATTACGGTCTCATTTTTGGTTGGGAAATAGATAAAGTCAGGAACTTTATCCATTAAGCCCCTTTTAAGAGCCATATATGAAGTTTGAGCTATGGATGTTATTGCTTAAGAGCTTAATAGATTAACTTGTTAGGATGTAAACCGAGGTACGGTGGGTTATGGATCGTAATGCGGGTCGTGAGATCTGGTCGCGGTTGTTTTGGCTATTAGTGAATGAACTCAAAGATCTTGCAAAGATACAGATTGCTGCTCATCAAAAAAGGATCACCAAGGCTTACAACAAGAACATAAAAGTCAGAAGATTCCAAATATGAGACTTGGTATAAAGGAAAACATTCCAAACACCAAGGATCATAGTATATGGAAATTAGCTCCTAAGTGGGAAGGATCATATCTCATAGATGCTAAAGCAGGAAAATGAGCATATTGGCTAGCAACACTCAAAGGAGACATTTTACCAAGATCCTGGAATGCTATACATCTCAAAAGCATACTATATGTAAACAAGATCGATTGACCTTCAACTAAACCAAGCTGCACATGTTCTTTACCTTAAACTTTTCATCATTACTTATTTTCTCTTCGGATAAATTACTAACTTAAGCATCGGAGGGGCATTAGCTAGACTAACGCCCACTCGTAGCTAACATTTTTATACAGAACATTGTACAACTAATGATCTCCATAAGAAATGATCCTGAAATATAAGGTCCTCAG